CCCTGAGCTGTGCCCTCTGGGGCAGGGTGGAGAGGGGACCCTGAGCTGTGCCCTCTGGGGCAGGGTGGAGAGGGGACTCTGAGCCGTGCCCTCTGGGGCAGGGTGGAGAGGGGACCCTGAGCTGTGCCCTCTGGGGCAGAGTGGTGGTCAACCTCTGGGCAGAGACTGGGGTGTGGACGCTGCCCCCTGCCTGCTCTCTGGAGACAGGCTGTTGCACACATGGGGGTACAGTGTGACCTGCCCATGCACTGGGAACTTCAACTGAGCCTGGGACAGCTGGGCCCAGGGGAAGGGGCAGGGTGAGGATCCCCACTGCCTGGCCAGGAATTCTTGCCAGGGAGGGGCGGGCCCTGAGTCCACAGGGTGGCTGGGGGGATGCTTGTCGGGCACACCCAGCCCCAGGTCCATCCCCAGCACCAAGGAGAAAGGAAGGGAGCTGGGCTGGGGCCCAGTGGTAGAGCTTGCCTAGCACGTGTGAGGTGCCAGGGCCTGGTGCACACAAGGCCAGCGCTCTACCAACTCAGCTCTATCCTTAGCCCCTAAGAGATTGTTTTTTAAAGAAGAGGAAAGGTTCCCGACAGAGGGACCTGGGACAGAGGGAGGGGAGCTGTCCCCTCCTCCTGGGCACTTCTCTCCTCTGCTGGCTGGATGGGGTGTCCTCCCTCCTGGCCGCCCGGGGCTCCTCTGCACACTCCCCAGAGGGAGGTGTTCCGCTGCCCTGGGAACCCGGAAGCCAGCCAGGGTGGGAGCAGGGCCCAGCTCGGCTGCCCGGACGCCCTCCCTGACACCACCCAGCCTCAGCACTAGCCATCAGGTCAGAGGACCATGGCCACCTGCCCCGTGTCGCAGAGCAGGAGAGCACCGCCCGGCTCTGCCCCTGGTCTCTGCCCCTCCACCCAGCAGTGGCCTGGAGGCTGGAGAGACCGCTGCCCTGCTGCTGTGACCCCTGCCCGAGCCTCCAACAGGCGGGTGCCTAGCGGGGACAGCGGAGCCCCCGAGGGGGTCCTGGCTGGGAAGCAGGCGTTTCCTGGGGCCCCTGGAGGCCGTGCCACTCCCACCTCCCCCAGCGCTCTCTCCAGGCTGCAGGGAGACGCCTTCCACAGACAGGACTTTTATTTTGCCGGGTGAGGAAATGGGGTGGGGTGGCCCAGCCGGGCGGCAGGGGTGGTCCTCTTAGTGGGTCCTGCTCACAGGGTGCCTGGGGTGGGGAAGCGGGCCGTCCGTGGGGCTGCGGATGACAGAGTTGATCCAGTCGGCGAATTTCGCCACTGGGGCAAAGGCGTCGGGGTACAGCCCGGAGCCGCAGCCTCCCCGGATGAAGGAGTCGATGCCCTGGACCAGCCCGTTGCAGACCAGGGGGCCGCCAGAGTCCCCCTGTGGAGAAGACCGAGGTCGGGAGGCTGGACCGCGGGCCTCCGGCCCTCCCACTGCCCTTCCGGGCGGGAAGTGGCCCAGGCAGCGTGGGGTGGTGGGCAGAGGAGCCCGGGGCACCTACGAAGCAGATGCCGGCCTGCCGGCGCGGCACAAGCGTGCACACGTTGACACGGCGGCGGCAGAGGGTCGTCACCACTGTCACGTTGAGTTCCTGTAGGACGCTGGGTGTCCCTCGGTTCGTGCCCAGCCTGCCCCAGCCCATGGCCAGGCAGGGCGTCCCGTGGCCCACACCGCGATCCTGGGCGGGCAGCTGGGCCACCTGCACGTGGTCATCGATGGTGGCAGACCCATTGAGCTGCCGCAGGGACAGAACAGCAGGTGTCAAGGAGGCTGCGCGGTGGCTCCACCACCCAGCAAGCTGCGCCCTGCCCTCTGCTCGGTGCTCCCAGCTAGGAAGTGAGACCACGGTAAACAGTAGGTGCTCAGTACGGCAAGCTGTGCCCCATCGTGACAACTCCCCAGGGAGCAACCAGAGCTGGGTCCCTCTGCCACCGCCCTGCTCCAGCAGACGGGGGCTGGAGACCAGGCGCTGACTTGCTTGCTGAAGCTGCCCGGGCCGGGCTCCTGTACAGGGCAAGACTGGGCAGGGCCAGTGCCCTGCTGGGGCCAGGCCCTGGGCCCTGGCTGGCCCGTGACTTGTCCGGCCTCGGAGCCTCGAGCCGCGGCACCTGTCCTGCTGGGTCACCTGGAGGATCACGATGTCGTTCAGCAGGCGCGTGGCGTCAAAGCCGTTCTCAAAGACCCGCTGGACAGAGAAGACCTGCCGGGAGGGCTCGCGCCGCCGCAGATCGTGGGCACCCAGCACCACCTGCACCGACCGGAAGTTCCTGCAGCGAGGGGGGCAGCAGGCCGCCGTGGGTGGCTGTGGGACCTCAGCCCTGCACGGCCTGGGGAGCCCAGCCTGGCCCCACTGCCCGACCCGGGGTGGACACTCACAGGCCATTCACACAGTGTGCCGCCGACATGACGAAGTTCCTGGCGATGAGGGAGGCGTCACAGAAGTGGCCTCCCCGTCTCTGCAGAGACACCATGAAGGGCCACGCGTGGGGCCGGGCTGGCCGGCCACCCACGATCTCCGAGGCCAGCACTGGGCCTGGAGACACATGGGGTGGGAGCAGGAGTGGCCAGCCGTGAGTCCCTGCCACCTGGCCACTCTGCCCGTGGACCCCACAGAAACCCACGAGGGAGGACACTGAGGCACGGCGGGGGACTGTGGGGCCCAGGCGCAGTCAGGGTGTCACCCCAGATTCACAAATCCCGGCTCTGGCACCAGGTGTGACCTCTCCACTGAGAACTTCTGTCTCCTTTTCTGGGGTTTCAGTCCTGACTTTTACCACCCCATGAGAAGGAGGAGACCCAGGTTTGGTGCCCAGTGAGAAGGTGGTAAAGGACATCCAGGGTCACTCACCGCCCAGCAGCAAGGCCAGCAGGACTGAAGCGAGGGCAGGGCTGTGGGCTCCGCAGCTGTGGGTCATGGTGGGCCAGGGCTGCCGGTCTCTGTCCCAGCAGACCCCCTGCCCTCTTATAGGCCCACACAGGGAGGCCGTTGTGTTGCCCAACTTCCTGTCCTCGGCACCAGGGCTGAGGAGGGGGGGCTGGCCCAGATGGCCGTGGCTGGGCCAGGCTCAGGCCGGGCCTGTCACCCTGCCCCTTGGAAGCTGAGGCAGGAGGGTCACTCGCTCAGGGCCAGCCTGGGCAACTCGGTGAGACCCTCTCAAAACAGAAAACACGGTGCGGGGTGCAGCTCGCGTGGAGCCCCTGGGTTCGGCCCGAACCCCACAATCTGTTGAATGTATACACGATCCTGTTTACGTCACAGGGCCATTCTGTTCACCAGGGTGCAGCGGTGTCCCTGGCCTGGAAGTCCGCCTGGCCCTGAGACCTGGTGGGCCCCTGGCCCCGAGGCTTCCCGGCCAGGCTCCCTCCGGTCCAGCCCTTCCTGGCCGCCTGGCTGGGCTGATGGGAGGACTCAGCTCCGGGAGGGCCTGGGCCCCACTCCTCCCGCTCCCCGGGGGGCCACAGCCAAGGCTGTTGACCAACGTCGCCTGGCTGGGCAGGTGTGGGCAGGGAGCCACCCGGCCCGCCCCTGGGTGGGGACCCCTCATCTCTGGGAGCTGCTGTCCTGTCTCCCAGAGCCTGCACACAGCCGGCGCTCAATCAGTGCCCCTGGCTTGGTCAGACACACACCGATTTGTCTTGCCCTCCCTTCAAGTCCCCACTCTGTTTCCTTGACGTGACTGGAGAGCGTGGGGAGCACCCACTGTATACACAACCCTGTATCTTGCTGGAGGCTGGGGTAAACCCAGGGCCTCGTGCATGTGGAGGCCATGTCTGGGGAGTACACTTATTGAGCACCATTTGTATACTATGTTCGCATATGCTATGGTGGATAAGTGTGTCGATGCTGGGTTCCGCCACCAACATGACTGCTCTGAGACCCAGTGTTCTCTGTACCGTGGCGTCACAGTAACAGGTTCAGCTTTGTGGGACGTCACCAGTCCCCACATTTCCCTGAGACTCTTGCCTGAGAAAGTGCCCTCTCCCTCTCCTCTGCCTCCTCCTCTCCTCCTCTTCCCTCTCCTCCTCTCTCTCTCTCCTCTCTCCCTCCCTCTCTC